ATCAAGCAAATACTACACATCATTGTCATGAAATCCCAAACAAAAGCCTCCTCAGAGCTGCTGGGTAAGAGCAGGGATGCATAAGGCTGCACAGTGGAAGAACTATGAGTTCACACCCTAAAAAGAAGCAACAAGAGAGTGACACTTGTAGAGGTGAGAGCTGGGCAGAAGCTTTAGTTACCCCACAACTACGGCAAACACAGTCTCCATAAATCCAACTTCTCAGCTTCTATTGCTTATTGTACCACAAGACCTACTGTAACTACTCTCCCTATATTTCTTGCACATTTTAACATCACAACAATTTTTAGAGGTCAGAGTCCAGAGCCCTGATGCATGTGAACATTGCATTTCAGAGCAGGTGTATAAAAGATCATTCAGGTGTACTTTTATTATTCTTATTAGGACTTTTTCTGGTATTGCTTACCTTATTCAATTTGGTTTTCTATTCCTCCAACGAGTGAAGTGCAGAGACTCTGATATCAGCACAGCTGCTCCATCCCTTTGACGCCAGCTCTACCACAATTCTCAGTCTGAGGCTCTGTTAGGCACTCAGTTCAGTCCCTGTGTGGGTAACCGAGTTACGATATGCTGAAACCCACCAGACCAGTTTCTCAGAAGGCTCAACGCCTGTCACGGACAGCTCAGAGCCGTCCATTGGGCATGCTTAATTATTAACCTAAGCTACTTTCTGCTATTAACTGTTTTGTTCCAAGTCTTTAATGACCATAATGGGAGTAATCCGGAACTGTTCTTCCACTGGTGTATGACTAGATCCTCCAACAGGAGGAATATGAACCAATTTTATCCTCTTTTTCCCCCACAACACGACAGAAAAACTGATGAAATGGTTTCTTGATATGCTGATATCCAATCTGGGAGTGACTTTTATAGCAAGTGGACTTCAAGGTTTCCTTATATACTCTTAGTTCAATTTTTCCATGGCATTCCCAACAGCTCATTTGGCAGAAATTCTGCCCAAAGAGTGTTCAGGCCCCTTATCACATCTCAAGTACCTACATCCCTGCAGGTCCTTATACATTTAGTGGTGGAAAAGAGTGCAATGGACTTACACACTGTTATCACTCACCCCGTGGAGAGTCATGTGCTTCCACCAGCTGCAGGGAAGACCCAGCTCAGCCTACATCAGGTACTAAATAGCTGTGTGAACATCATCCCTACTCCCACCTCTATACTCATCTGTTTGAAGCCCAGATGGCTTCTGATGGAGCCACCAGGAACACAACGTGTTGCTGAGTCCCTGCACTGGTATAGATGCCTTCATGGAAGTTTCCACCTAAATTCAGAGGAAGCTCTCCGACATCACAGCATAACTACAGTTTAATGAGTTACCATGCGCCAGTCAAACAACAGCAGTATGTATGCATGCTCTTACCTCATCTCCAAAGGGAGGTGAAACAGGCTTGCTTGTTTTTCCTCGGCTTCAAAGACACAACAGCACAAAGACATGGGCAATCAACCTTCAGGGAAGTTCTGCACCTCTGCCCAACAGTCAAACCAGTTGTGCTTGGTTTTTTTCATAGGCCAAGTCCCAGTGTCTCAGCTGCATATAGCCAATGATTATAGGAACCCAATGAAAGTTAACCCTCTCCTGCCTAGTAATCTACTCTCAGTTTACTTATTAGCTGAAATTACACCGAAAACACGGTCAGTAGAAAGAGTAAACTTGAGAGAATTCTTGAACAAAAAAGTATTGCCAAAAAAGAGACAGTACAAAGATGATAACTTGAACACAGCAGATAGAATCAGATGCTGGTAACAAGATCCACTGACAGCCCCAAATGAGAAGATGGACCAGCCCTCTTGAGCCCTCTCAAGAACAAGAGGACACAGGGCTGGAGACTTTAACTACAACACAGGTCCATGATCCAGCTAAAAGGCAAGACTAGAGATGAGACTGAAGACCAGTACTCCTGTAACACAGCTCAGGGAGAGGCTACAGGCCCAAAGCTGAGGTTAAATAGGGCTCTTGATCCATGGGCAGGGTGTGGATGGGAGTCTCAGGTGAGGCTGATCAGGGCCCTTAAGGCTTATTGCTGCCCTCAGGGCCCTTACGTTTCTGCTCCCAACATACTTCACTCAAACTCTCTTGATCATAGTGAGGAAAAAACAAGTTATCACCTCTGTCATTCTGTATAGCATTTTGTGATTGAATCCTAAGGAAACACTTTATATAGCAAAAATTCAACAAACTGTCCCAGGTTTGCAGATCCAAAGGATTTGACTGGGATGATGAGTTTTTTCTTTGCAGAAAGCCAGACTAGGTAAGATGTTGCAATTCAGATCAGGAGACAAATGATCAAGTCACACAGGAGTCCTGTTATATGAAGTGTAAATACTCTCCCACTACAAGCTGATGACCGTGTTTAGGTATGGTTACTCAGTAAAGAGAAAAGCAGTACAGTCTGATGAGTAAGTGCATGTTTGTACATGTGTGCAAGCAATTTTTTCTTCCTGC